AGTTGCAGTCATCATATTGTAGCGGTGTGAGATCTTCTATGAAGCCAAAGCTTTTATGCTATTTCAGAAGGTAAAAAAAATATTCATCGCCTCCAAACTGTAACAGTATGGACATTGATAACAAGGCAACTTTCAGTCATGATGCCTTTCTTTAGAAATGTCCACACGGAGAGCTGGGAGTTGAGCGAAGGCAAAACTGGAGAGAGGGATTGAATGTTGAGTGCTCTAAAGATAATTCCAGGGTTATCTCTGGAAAAAATTAAAACAACTCGCATTGAGACATTTAGTAATACAAGATACTGAGGTTACATTTGATGAATACCAACCCTAATGACGAATATACTCTGTGTAAATCTGAGCTCTATGACTTTTGGCAAGGATATTTGCCAGCAGCTCAAAAGTCCTGGCACAGAATATCCACATGCCCATAAATTTCTGCAGGCACAAATACATCTGTTAAATCATTCCTTCATGCTTCCCTTCAATATATAAAGTCCTAAGTGTTGAGCACTTCATCACCAAGCTGTCATAGGCCATCCCTGACCTTCCCAGCAAAAAGGGACTGGAGTCCTCAGGGAGCTCAGAGCAGGTTCCCTGGAGCAGTATGTCTTCATCCACAGCAACTGAAAGGACACTGAAAAGCAGAAGGCCCTTAAAAAGTAAGATTACTCTGAATGAGGGCTGTCCTCATGGATTACTACTAGATTTTGATGCCAGAAGGCATAATCAGGTGTAACCCTGTGAATAATACACACGTGGTAACGGATCCAGCTCATGTCTTCTCTGTACTCAGGATCTTGTTGATCTGCTAAAAAGAGACCAATGAAAATAAGGAATGTCTACATCTTACCGCGACCTTGTTTCCTTTCTGTGGAGAGCTGTCACCATTTCTTACCTGAACTGGGCCAGCAATAGAACTGTAGTAGATTAAACTAATTATTTAATAACTTACTTTATACATGGAGACATTTTTCTCAAACGTTGAGGTCACACAGCAGCTCTTTCTGATGGCATCACCGATGAAGGAACATCCTGTTAGTTTGCTGCTGCTCCTGGATTATCCTAGAAGGTGGGTGTTGAGCAAGGGGGCTTCTGTGCAAAATATCAGCCTACTGTCTGTACGCACACAGAGGGATACACAACTTAAGAAGCAGGTTTAGGGTGAGGTATAATAAGAAAACAAGAATCCAATCCAATCATACATACACCTTAAAATCTGAAATTAGTTACATTTTTGTCCTAAGATAATTAGATAACTTGGTCTCTCCTTTGTATAAATATAAAACAATACTAGAATTCCTACCATAATACCAGCAGCAGCTTCCATAGCCATTCATGGCCCTTTTCTTTGACTAAGGGCTGTACCAAGAGATGTGAAAGAAAGACACTTCTTTTGTGTGCCATCCAGTGACATTTATCCCAAAGTGCATTCTCCATCATTCACAGTTTTCAAGTACAGAAACTACCAATGTTTTTGTATTGTTGTAATATTTTAATTAAAAGAATGAAGATATTTTTAAATAGATAAAGCAATCTTTAATTTAATAAAACACTAACATTTGTCTGGTCGCAAATGTAATACCAGAGCAATAACAAAAGACTTAGAGTTTGGTTATGGCACATTATTTTTATATGCTCAAATTAATAATTGTTAATCTACTATAATAATTGATTTTTCTTTATTTATTTTTTTTTTACCACAGCAGCAGAGATTGTGGCAGCCACAACCTCTGTCATAGCTGAGATTTCTCTGTAGTAAGTACTGTACCATAGGAAAAAGCAGGAAAAAAGAACCCATTCCCCAAAGCCAATTTAAGGGCACATACAGCAAGTCCCTTGTAGTTCAGGGGTTAAAACAGGGAAGTTCAAGAAACAGTCAAGCCAGTTTGATCAATATGATGGACTGACAGCCTTTGACAGAATCTGGCTGCTTTCAAGACATTTGCAGAAAATGTCTCCCAGGAGACTATTAAGGAAATGTTTACAGGCTAACTTTGCACAGGTTCACAGGCACAACCCATGGCCTTCTCACTACATGAAACGCAATCTCGGAAAGGCATATCCAAAATGCTAACAGGTGGATGATAAATGCTAGAATCTTAATGTGACAGGAAGCGGAGGCAAGATTTTAAACCTGATCTAAAGAGATGAGTGGGAGAATTGATACGGGAGGAAGCCTGAGTGGGAAGAGCAGGACACTGCTCTGTATGGTTGAAGAACAGGGAGGCCGTGTGTTGATGCACAGGAACAGATGAGTCTGTCAAAGACAAGAAAGCCTTTGCAGCAGAACTGTCAATGAATCTCCTTCCTTTTGTCAACCTTACAGGGGAAAAAAGAAGAAGTAAATATTTGTAAATGTTAAAAACAAGAATAGTTTTGAGATGTAGCAGGTGTCACACAGGGTAAACAGAAATGGCATATTCAGAGGTGCTATAATGGAAACATTGTTGGTTTAAGCACAGCACTGCAGCACAGTTGTAGAGAAGCCTGAGTGATATCAGAGGCATGTGTGATGTTGAAGAAAATGGGGCTACTTATTGTCTAGGAAAGACTTTCTGGGGAAGGATGGAGAATTACCTCTGAGCCTGCATATGACAAGTTTTGAGGAGGTTTTGTTGGGAGCATGATAAGTAGAATCTGTTCTGCTGTTAAGCATTGAACTATGAGTTCTGATATAAATTGGAAAATACATGTATCAGTATAAGTCTTGAGAGAAATATCTACCACTGATATAATGAGCAGCACCATGGTAAAGTGAGTGATTGAAAACAGGGACTATAGTTGAAGAAGTAAGAGAAGGTAAATATGATTCTGGAACTTATTTTCAACAGATGTAGAAGAAACTACAGTGAAAGATGTTTTCTATGTCCCCCATCGTTAAACAAGCAAGAAAAGTGAATAAAAGTCCGAGTCAGAGCTGGCTGAGAAATTTAATATCATCAGCATTTTTTTGTAAAGTGAGGAAACCAAAGCCTGTTCAGATCATATTTTTTTAGACATCTTGTTGAAGATCAGTTTCATGATGAATTTAATCTGACCTAAAAACAGCCTGATACTGAGATGCATGGTCCAGCTTTCACCACATTTCTGCTGCTTCTTTTCCATTACCAAGGCAAATCAATTTAAAGTTAACCCTGGAAGAATATAATGAGTTTTAAGCAACATTAGTACATTGACCTGATCTCCTTGAGACTGAACAAGTCACTGTAGCTGCTGCAAGGGAGAAGGCAGAAGCAATCAGTTCTGAGTGGGATGGAAAGGAGAAAGACAGGACTTCTCTTTTCCAGGGCAACAGTATTAGATCAACTTTAAAACAGCGATATCAAAGTCAAAGCTGGTGTCAGATTTAGGTGCTCTGAATGATGACTAGGACTACCTAGGCTTTGTACATTTCTCTCCTCTCTTCAACAGCTTTACAGTAAAGGAAAACAAATATACTATATAAAAGAGCAGTGATAAAAGACATATTCCATAAATGACCATTTTTCATGGAAATTTTATTTTTAATCTATTTTCTTCCACATTTTTCATTCATTTCAGTCCTTACATTCTACAAAAATGCATACTTATATTACAATAATTTCATAAATCTGATTGTTAGGGATTCAAAGGCTGTAGCAAATTTTCACTTCTGAGCAATTTGTCTATCCTTACTGTATTTGCAGATTTAGCAAAATACAGTATCTTAGTGTGAGAAATTGAATTTGCTTTCTGTTTTTTCAAAGTATCATAAAATATTTAAGGAGTTGTTCATATCTTCTGTTGGCTTTTGTTTCATCATTGGTGTTTTTACCCATAAATAGCTTTGAGCTTGTGCCTAGTACAGTAATCAGGCAAAAACAAGAGAGAATAACAAATTTTTTTAAAAAAAAGCGTGTCAGGATGTTGTTGCGAAAACCCAACCATTATTCAATCACCCATGTTAAAAAAAACTAAAAATACAGCCCCAGCATGTTTTTTCTGGTTATATTTAGCATTTAAATGTGGGACATTCATGTTTGCTGAACTTAAAAACTGCAGGCTTGAGCTCTTAGAAGCAGACTGTAGACCTTTCATTATTTTATTAATACCTGCTTGCATGCTCATCCTATCAGGTAACATGAATAATGTGTGATTTACCATGCTTACTCAATTAAACATACCAGTTCATAGTTTAAATGTCTAATAATGATACTTGGGCAAGTTATAATTGAATTTAAAAATGCATTGAATGCATTCTCACTGTGGATAATTTGGGGAAGGCACTCTTATTTGTTTTGGATAAATCTCTAGGAAAAATAATTACATTTGTCATTTGAGTTAAATGTTTCTGTCTATCAAAATGACACAGAGCTGATTTTAATTATATCCATAGATGCCAGTGAGAAACAGCATTGTCCTTTTAAACATATTTTATCAGCTTTGATTTGCTGTCTAGTCTTAATTCCTTTCCCTCTTTCCCTCTCATTTACTGATACATTCTATTTTTAACTATTGGGATCTGAATTATGCTACCCAGAGTTTGCATTTTGATTTTATATCAACATGTTATTTTTCTCTGTCTTTCATATCAACATATCTTAATCCTATGAAGGTTTTGTGAGAACTATGACATCATAAAAAGTTATTTAAATTTAATAATAGGAAACCAAGTGGGGAAAACCTTCAGACAAGAAAACAAGGGCTTCTATTGCAGTAATTGCCATGAAAAGTTTGCAACATATCCATTCTTAATGAAACAATAAGCTGAACAATGTTCTAGTGACACAAGCATACACAATATCTTTCCTATTTAAAGAATCCATGCAACATCTAAAAAAAAAGATGTTCAGAAATCAAACAGATTATGTAACTCTATGAAATTATAAAGGAAGACAAAATAAAAATTGCTGAAACAACTCAAACTTACAACAAAATTTATTAAAACAATTGTTATATTCAGACACTACAAGCAACTTTTTTGTGAATTCTGAGCAGAATGAGAACTAATAAAGAGCAAAACCAAAAAGACAGGATTGTTCTTGTCATGTGCTGAAGCCAGGCATAGATGCATCTCTGTCTTTGCCTTTGCTGTTGTGATTCTTTTAGTGGATCTGGTGGTACAATAGAAACTATTAGACATCAGCTTATAACTTCTGCCCTGTTTTATTTAGGAGCCTGGCATATTTTAGAATATCCTGTATCCCATTTTCAGAGGCTCGTATTAATTCTTAAAGGCTTCCAGTTCAGGAAAGTTAGCTTTAAGCATGTGCTTAATCCTTTTACTGAATCAAAACCTAGAAAAACAACTTTGTTAGTATAATTTTTAATAGATTTTGTTGGCAAAGCAATTTTTATCATATTAGTAGAATCAATCCACCTTGATGCCTTTATCCTTTTTAATAATTGATATTCTTGTTTGGCATTTTTACAATCCTACATTAAGCATGAAGATTTCCTATTGGAGGTGTAAAATAGCCCTTCTGAAAGACATGGAAAGGGAAACACCCCAGCACTATGCTTGCTGAAACTATGCTGATTCTGCTTTGACATTCACCAAAGACAATGATATACAGTTACCTACTTATTTCTTATCACTTTTTTTGTTACTGAGGTTGAAGCACTTTTTCCTCCTATAAATGTTCATGTGCATATTTGCATGAAATCAATAGCTAAAAAAACCCAAAATCCAAACCAAAGGCTTTTTACTCTCAAAGGACATTCAATTTTATGTACTAATCGTGATATGATTCTTGAGGCTTTCCTGTGCAGGGCCAGCAGCTGGACTTCAATGATCCATGTGTGTCCCTTCCAACTCAGAATATTCTGTGATTCTGTACTACTTGACCCACTCTATTAGACTAATATGATCTATCTATCCATAGAATTAGCTTTATTGCCTAGAAATTGTGATAAATGCTAGGATATAGAACAGCTATCCCATGATGCAGGATGTTGTTTACTCAGTGTCTGTACTACTTGAAAAGAATAGAAATTCACCTATATAAAGTAATCTGATAAAATCTTCTCACTGGTCTCTGAGATTCTGATCACTTTATTATTCTCAATCCTCTAAAATGTAAAAAATTACACCCTTTTAACAATACATAAGGAGTATGCTTTTCTTTTTACAGAAATTCTTGCCTGTCAAACTTTGTAAAAAGCAGCAAAACATCATTCCCCATCCAGAGCATCTGTTGCTAAATTTGGCTCTTTTCTACTTACTCAAATGTGAGGAATATTTCCAAAGGCCTACATTTTATAGAATTGACATGCCAAAAGTTCACTGACCACACTGTCTTCATAAAAGCTTTGTTTGCTAGTTAGTTGTTTCTGAGTGCACTTATTCAAAAGGATTTTGAAGCTGCTGATGTGTTGTATTTGGTTCTTTTGAAATGCTGAAAACAGTGTCTTATTATGTTTAGATTTTAGCTTACCTTTGTAACCAGTTCTAATTGTTTAATTTACTCATGCTCTTTTAAGGTGGACAGTAGAAAAAAAATCCTCTCTTTTTAAATTACTTGAATTACTTGAAATTACTCCTTCAGTTAACTGTCATTACATCAAATTAGTAAATAAATACCTTTTTTATTGAAACTAAAATTACAGGTAAATGTACCCAGATAAAACTTTAGAGTTCAGGGCTTGGCCAAGATTTCCCTGCCTAGCCTGAACAGGACTCTTCTGCACCTAAGTTTACTCACTGTAAAATGGAAAAAAAGTAGCTCATCTCTTAGTCCCCATCTTTGTGCATTACTGTGATTTTATGCAATGAGAATCAAGAGCTTTCACTAATTATACAGTAAGAACCATAATTTGTGAACAAATCTAACACATTTGTGGTGTTAAGAATTAGAGTAGTCCCACAGAGATGCTCCCTCTGTGGCCTGTCTTTACAGGGTCTTTAGGATTAGTCACAAAGAAGACTACTGTGGTATATTTGCAGTTAGATTCCATTAAATTGCCTTCTTGCTCCCATTTTTACGAAAGACTTAGAGACAGCTCCTGACTTAGCCCGTGTGACAATGACCAAGATAGAACGAAAAGAAACTGCATTTCCCTTTGTATCATGACATTCTGAATCAAGGCTGGAGGTTAGATTTAGCCTACCTTTTTTATGACTCTGAAAATGATACATGTTTATCTCTAAGTATCAGGTGTGCTCTTCTTCATCTGTCAATTAGACTTAATTCTGTTAAAGGATTTGGCAGTTTGTGACTATTAAAAACAGTTTGCAATGGATATTGTTGCCCTTGGCTGAGTCTTGCATTTTAGCTGTATCCCTATTTAAAACCTCTCTATTTTCCATGTCGCATGAATTGTCAAGTGTCGTCTTTCAGAAGAATGGACAGCAGCCTTCATTACAAGCATACAGAATATACCTATGTTCCCAGTATGCTGTTTATGTATTTTATATATTGAATTAATATTTACTTAAACGCAAATAAAATAAAATAATATCTGTATGCTTCAAAAGCGAAAAATAAACCATAAAATCATCACAAAAAATGAAAGTCAAAATGACAGAATATTCTTTGTATATGCACATCAGCAACAAAATGTAGAAATGATCTAAATTAAATCTTCCCAGATCTAAAACTTCCAAGTAAACACCATCTTGGGATATTCAGCATTTCTCATTTTAAAGTAACATGCCTTCTAGGAGAACAAATAAATTTAAGCTGTTTTAGTTTGGACAGAAAATGAATTCTAATTTGCAGACACCTTCTCAGACATACCTCTAACAGTAATGTCTATTCTTAGCAACAGAGGAAATTCTGAGTACCTCTGTGACTTATGTTATCTGATACCTAATGTTTCTGAGCAGTTTGGGGGGGTGGGG